ATAAATTTAAATTAATTTATTGATATATTAGAGCGCTAATATATAAGTTATTATATAATATTAAATTTGATATATAAGATATGTAGCTAGCGCTCTTAATAAATAAAATTCTTACGTTCTAGCTCCTGTATAATTTTATTATTATTGTCATTTTTATAATAATTTGTTTGATTTTTTTGTTCTAAGTTTTTATATCGCAAAGTAGTATTATAATCTTCTTGTGAAGTAATATCTTGATCTTCGTAAAAATCTTGATATTGTAAAGTAATATCTTGATCTTTATAAAAAGCTTGATTTTCATTAAAATCTTGATCTTCATAAAAATCCTGATCTTCGTAAAAATTCTGATTTTCATTAAAATCTTGATCTTTATAAAAATCTTGATATTGTAAGGTAATAATATCTTGCTCATTATAAAGAAAATCTTTTTTGATTTATTAGTTCTTTTTGTTCTAAAATATGGTTTTCCAATAATTTTTCTATTTTTGTTATAAAAACATCTTTCTGCTTTATCATGTTGGCATTTAATTCTCTTACTAAGTTCTCATTCTTGCACGCTTATTATTAAACAAGCTTTGCATTTACAAATTACTTTTTCTAATTTACGCTTATTAGTTATTTATTATATATTACTAATATACTTGAAATTTTAACAATTAAAAACGCCAAAATTTTTATTTAAGTTTTATTTATATATTACAAACATTAAAATATAGTTTATCAATTAACTGCCAAATTTAGAAATTTAGTATCGCATGAGAATATAAATAATTTAGATACATATAAATATAAATTTATTTGCATTTTTGTTTTTGCAAATTTCAAACTTTTACAATGACAACTTCATCTTCAATTACCTATTCATATTTATCTCAAAAAATTATAGATAGCAAAGCTCCTTCTGAAGAAATATTAGATTCATTATCAGCCCAACAAAAAATAGAAGTTTTAAAATTATGTTATGATTCACAATGAAAATTACTTAACAAGTTACTTGAAGAAAAAAGAATTGAGCAAGCTATTATAGAAATACCTACTATAGAGCCACCTAAACGAGATAAACATTAGTCATCAAAAATTAAACTTTGGGAGCTTTGCCCATGGCTACCAAAAACTTACTTTGCAAAAATTAAAGCTGATTTTACTTCACATATTGAAGCAAATAAAATCGCTGAGTCAACAACATGGTCACAATTAGGGTATTCAGCTAGAGAAAGTTGGATCGAA